GCGTAAGCAACGTAAGTCGTGGACTATGTCGATGTTTTTTATCGATAAACAAATCACCATAGTCCGCATAAGTTTTTATTTGATTATAAGTAATACATAGATAAATAATACCAAGGTGTTATTTGAAATTGTTTTTTTAAAGTATTTAGAAATGTTCTTCGGAAAAGAACTTAGAAATTATTGAAAATAAGTTTATTATTTTACTACAGGTTTATTTTACATTATGCAGAATAAAATTTTAAACTTTTAACAAATCGAAATGGGTTTAGTTAACTTATTTTAAAAATCAGATTTTTTGAAAAGAAAAGTCCTATCAGTTTATCGTCTTAGATGGTGTTGACCAAGTTTTTGTTTTTATTATAAAGCTTCAATCACAAAACCGCTAATTAAAAATACTTTTTGATTTTCAAGAGTTATGAAACGAACTGTTTGGAAAAACATTTAATAAATTAGGAAAACAAAAAAGTTTTACACTATATAACAGTTTAACAAAGTGAACTTTTAGCAGACAGCTGCTTAAAAATAAAACGTTACATCTACCTAGGGCTAAATATTCCCCAGAAAGATGTTTTGCTTTAACTTTACATTACTATTCACCGAAAGCTTAACAATATGTGCAAAATATCAAAAGTTTAGAAATTGGTCTGCCTTTATCACATACGATAACAAAAGTGGTACAGTACAATTTATGGCCGACTTTGCTACACAAAAAAAATCGTTAACTGTTTTAAAACTTAGACTAGAGAGTAACCCTGACAAGAAATTATATTGTATATTAGTGATAGATGAAATGAAAATAAGACAATTGACTGAGTACCATGCAAGTTCTAAACGGCATTTTGGTTATATACATAATGCCTTGGTTATATACCATTACTTGGTTACATACTAATACTTTGGTTATATACTAAATGCCTAGCATGGTATTCTCTCTATTGCTTAATTTTCATTTCATCAATTACCAAGGTACAATAATTTTTTTATCAGGGTTACTCTCCGCTCTCAATTTTAATGCCGTTAGCGCTTCTTGAGTAAACCCTTGTTGGCGATCGATGGTAGTGTACCACTTAGTCAATGTACATGGTCCAGGCAAACATGTTCCAAAAGTTTTACGTACATAACGGTAGGCTTTTGGTGATTGATAGTAAAGTTTTAGGGCAAAGTATTTTTTGCAAACTTGTGAAGCCTGTTTATGCTATTGTTTTTTATGTCAAGGCATTTTTTCATTTTAATTTTCCTTGGCCTAAGTGTTGGCTCGTACTCGCAGTGGGAGTAGGACTAGTTCGGGCTATATAAGGATTTTTTTTTCGAATTGTGACTTTCGAGATAACTTATGGAATTTTGCTGGAACATCCAGCTTTCTTTTTTCGATGTAGACGATATTGTGCAATCACCACGATCACCCTAAAATAAATAATTTACCTACGTAAGTCAGAAGATACTACATTAAGTTTACAATTACAATAATAGGTATATGAATTAAATTTGATAGGTTAGTGCTTTTGTAAACTTAATAAATAAAAATATTTAATCTAAATAAAATTACAGCCCAACATTACCTCCCACAAGTTCAAGGTTGGTACTGCAGTGTCAGATTCATGGTTTCTCCAAGCTACAATCCAAGTGTGTCGCCTTTTTTTTTTTTTTTTTGCATGGGGAAATGCCTACGCATACCCGCCTCGCGGGGGCAAGGACGGGTTATGTCGGACTCGCACCGACTAAAACCCCATGGTGTTCCACCTTTGTCGCATATTGGCAGGGCTACGGGAACGCTTTCGCACACATCCGCGGCCCTACTAGCGCCTGCCGCCCCATGGCAGCACCTCCTCGGGAGAGGAAAATTCCTCCCCGTTCTCCTTCCCAGGTAAGGCACACCAGAACACATGGCGCGCCTTCCTCCACGGCCTCCAACTACGTCTGTGCAACAGACGCCCCCGCGTCCGATGCACAAAGGCCATGGGGCCAGGAAAAACGAGCACTTAGAAGTACTAGCCTTCCCGACCCCAGCGGCGGATCTGGTCTATGGCTCCGCCGCCAACCAAGATTCGGCTGCGGAGGGTAGGGAGAGCGGCGCCTCGCAATACCGACAATCCTCTCCCCCCGCAGCCCCACCACCACCACCGCATCAACGGTGCGGCCCCGTTTGAGTCGCGAAGGATAGGGCGAGTGGCGCATCGCCATACCAACACTCCTCTTCCTCCGCGACTCCACCTCGGCTGCAGCGGTAGAGGGTGCGCGAGTCCCCACTCGCTGCAGTCCACCAACACACATCCAAAGTGGGCTCCCCAAGCCCACTCGGAGCGGCCACCTCAGGCGGGCCCTTCACCTCGGGCCAGCCACGTGGGTTCCTCTTTGTTCACCGTGGGAGACCAAGCCACGGCTACTAAGCCCCCCGCCACGACAAGGCGGGAACCCGTTCGGGGGGGAAGTGTGTCGCGTAAGAGGATCTCTTGGAAATCTGTAATAACAAACCAATAATAGAAAAATTTACTACTTTTTTGTAATACTTTATTACAAAATCTAAATAAAAACTACAAACCGGTTCGGCAGACAAACCCGCATGGTTAATTAACTTATTGATAGCTAAAGTTGCGGCGTTCATCACTATAGTGCAATACTTTCGGTTGCAGTGATACCAGTTTATTTTTATAAAAATTGCACACTTTAGCTGCGAGGAAGCAAGTTTCGATTTGACTTATTTGGCCTGTATTTTGTACATGTATTTTGTACATATTTGAATAAATACTAGTTATCGATTATATTTAATTATATAATATTCAGTATCGTGTAAAAATTGAGCTGAATATATAAATCGTTTAACAAAATCCACTACACATCTATATGTAATGATTATTATTCACCACAAACTGATTTAGTTATTAGGAAATATATTTTTGTTAATATATATAATTTTTGTAGTAAATTATATTTTTTTTAAATAGATTATTTTTCACTTTATGAACTATGATGGCCACACTCGGTATTGGACGATAATATTCACAAATTACGAGTTTTAATGATAAAATTACTTTAATATTATGTTAAAAATACTCACAGATGAAAAGTCACATTGTCTTTTTGTATATTTGACGTTTTTGTTTTTTTCTTCACGTAAATACACTGCAATTCGGTATTTTGTCGGAGCTCGATTTACTGGCACGATCACTTCGAAATGACGCACGACGCGGAGCAACTAGTTTTATACAACGAGTATGAGTCGGACTCTCGTACCTTTTACAGAGGGGTTTGCCTTGCGATGCCGTCTCCTTTGATTTAATACTCAAAGAGGGCAGGCCATATCGATATTTCTATAATAATAACATCTGTACAAGATTGTGAGAATGTTTTCAAATTGCCACGGACACACGGCACATATCTGTCGGTAAAAATAATACACCAAGTCTTCTAACTTATTTATGCCTTTCATTTTTGTCATGGTTGTTTCTTGGATCGTCATTTTTCACGTCTAAACCGTAGAACTTATTTTTATGGGGGGTTCCGTGAAAGGCCCGCAGATGGTATTTTTTTAATGAAATATAATTATTTCAGTAATACTTTAGTTTTTGTCATGTATCACATTATGATCAACATACGACCCAATACAGAGTTGCAATTTGCAAAAAAAGAGGTATGAAAATTTGAATTTTACGGGCTACATTGGCAGAATTATACCATCTAATATTATAAAGCGATGAAATTTGTAGGTATGCAAAGGGAAATCTATGGAACTACCTGTCGGATTTGAAAAAAAATATTTTTGATTAGATAGCCCTGTTCTTGAGAAATGTTATAGCCTAGGCTATGTAAGACCACGCTATGACCCTCAAAAGCTAAACAAAAAAAACGTTAGAAACAATGTTAAACGAAAACGAAGTGTTAGCGCGCGCAGGTATTGCGATGCGACGGGATATGAGTCGGGGGAACAATAAATTTCTCTTTCTCACTTAGTCGCAGGTAAAATTACTAGCTGTATTAAGCTAGTAATTACTATCTTTGATGGTAATTTTCCTACACCTACCTTTTTTAACATGCAGATGATTGTGAGTTTTAATTAAAAGTCAACAATAATTTTATTATAGTAAAGAAAAATGTTTTTCATAGGATTTTTAATAGGTTTTTACGTTAATTTTGTTATAAGTTCTCAACTCATTAAATATAACAATCTTTATTATACTGTAGAGATTTAAAGGCTAAATAAACATGAAAATAAAATTTTGTTATATTTTATGAACACAAAGCCGAACCTGGTGGTGGCTGGTGGTTTGATCCGGTGAAAGTGACACGGGATAGGAATGCTAGATCGGAAGACAAAAATATCTGGACAAAATTTGAAAATGTCGGGATTTTTGTTACCTTGTCCACAAATTTGGATTCTTTATTAGTATAAGAAAATTGCGAAAAACAATACACACCAAATTAAACTTCTAAAATAAAATACTAACTACTTAAATATCTATATTAAAACAAACAGAAAACTACATCATAGTACGCAACAAATCAAACACAGATATGTTTACAATTAAAACTAAAAGCCTATATTATACACTAACAAATCAAACTCAAAGAATCTTACTTAAATATTATAACAACAAAGAAAAAGAAATTAAAGTAACTACACTCAAAATATTCTAATGAAGTAGTGAAAATGAAAAAAAAAACAAATTGTACAGTAAACCCCTAAAATAACTATCTGGGGTTGTGAATTAAATAAATTTCTTTGGTTTAAATCTTTGATAATATTACTAAAATGAGCAATTTTTTCTTCTGTCTTCTAACTTTCTTATTAAGTGTCTCTTTATCTTTATGAATTGTTTTTGACATTTGTCCTTCAAAATGATAATCATTTGAAATGATAAAGAAATCACTTCAAATGAGTGTACCTGAAATCAAATAAAAAAAAAAGATATAAGTATAAAGTAATATCAAGCGGGAGATATCTCCCATTCAGGCACAATTCAGTCAATGAGATGTTATAATTGAGATAAAATTCACAAATAATGATGATAATAGAAACTGAAGCTAGTCATACCGATAAATCTAGCGTAGCGGAGGTACTAGCGGCTAAATCTGGCATAGCGGAGGTGCTAGAGGCTAAATCTGGGGCAGTGAAGGTGCTAGCAGCCAAATCTGGTGCAGTGAATAGGCTAATTACTAAATCTATGCCACTTCTTAGGCACACAAAAAGGTTCGACCTGAAAACCACTCCGTATTATTAACATAAATATTAATGGAAATAGAAAACTAATACAAAAAAAAATTATGACTCTTCAACACAGATTACCCCCTAATAGACAGCGCATCATGTAATATTTGTTCTGTTTCGATTACACAAAATTTCGCGTCATGCATGAGTTGCTGGGGACGAGTCAAATGCGCTGTGATTGGATAATTCGAGGTTGAACTTAGAATGCTCCGAACCATAGTGATGGGACAGGGTTGGGACGTTGATCGATAAATTTGGGATTTATTGATAAATAAATAAATTGATCAATTTTTATTTGAAATTTATTAAAAAATAAAACAATGTATATAAATAAAACAATATATATTTGTATATGGAATCTAATGATTTCTTAAATTTACGCGAACACTACACATTGAATAAAACTATATATACGGATTTTATCACGTTTAATTAACTTATAGTCACGAGGGGGGGGGGCGCTGAGATGTTTGACATCTCAATATCATAGTTAGCCCGGCTACCTTCAGCTTTTGAATATTTGTTTTTGGTCTGATCTACATAGAACGAGCTTACAGTATCTTGAAGTCTTGCAGTGGTATGCTTGGGTTTGGGTAGATTTTGCAGATGACAGTTGGCAGCACCTATCCATCGACTGTGACCAGTTTCACTTGGTCGCGTGATGTAGGCGTGGGACCCAAAGCTTATCTTGCAATACGTGCTTGACGTGCTGAAGCTCGGCAGCCAGATGTTTTCTGTCACAGATCCCTTGTGCTCACTGAAACAAAATTTACCCACATCTTTTTTCTTTCGGGGCATTTAGGAAACCTATAACCTCTCAGCAGTCCGGGCCAAAATAGCCGCTTTGGCGCATCTGTCAAACATGATGAGACATGTGTCATTAAGATGGCAATATCTTAATATTTATGTATCGAAACTATATAATATAATATGTTGTTAGAATTGTTGTTAAATAAGCTAATAGAATATGTGTAAATGTGTACGTTCACCTTTTTGGTATGTTATAAATTCGATGGTAAAATTGCTAGAAGCGATATTTTTCCAGTTTGTTGAATAAAAAATGTAATCATTAAAAAATTAAGCAATTATTTCAATAAATATTTACTTCATTTACTATACGATAACACACTTTACAATAATGAATAAAAAAAAAACACAACTCTACGTACAGTTTTTTCACACCACAAGCTCGACAATAATGTGAGCCACTTAAGATGACCCGAAACAGGAACAAAAAAGGCACATTTTGTACTTCAATATCAACGACGCCTGAGGCACAATGGGCTTTAAATCTTAACTTATTCTATAGTTTGGTCTTTGTTCTTAATATAAACAGTTTCAAATGTTACAACTATTTAGTTATTAAGAAATGAACGAGTTGTAACAAACACTTGAAAAAGTGATCCTAAAAAAATGCTCTCAAACTTTTGCATTTGTAACGAACAATTTTGTAATTTATTTACATGTGAATGTATATTCCTAAATTTAATAACATTTCCTAAGTTAAAAACAAAACAAAGAAGGCATCTTTCATACAAAATTATGTTAGAAATCAACAACTAAAAGTTACACATTCACTACAAAAAGTACCAAGTATGACGTAGTACTCAGCTATGGATACGCTCTATGGTGAGTTCTTTAATAATTGTAATCATGAACATAAAATTAAAATGAAATACAAATTAGTTACTTTTCTTTGCTTTTTTATATTTTTAATTAACATTTGAATATTATTATAAAAAAAATGTTTGACAATTCTTTTTTGCTAAAATAAAGGATTTTTATTTTTGTTATTTTGAATTTTTTTAATTTTACTTAATTTGAAGTGACCCTAGCCTAGTGATAGCTTGCGTGTGAGATCCATAACAAAGGTTAAGCAATGCACGCGTTAGCTTGCAACTGGATGGGTGACCGTTTCGTACTTTGAGGCTATTTCAACTATAGCACCGCAACGAGCTAAGGCTTATTGCTTAGCAATAAAAACTACTACGTACAAAAAGCAATCTCTTCCAGATAACCTTTGGCTAAGAGTGAAAACAATAATCATAAAATAGAAATTACAGTTAGTTGGCCACATAATAGCAATCTCTTTTAAACAACCTTGGACAAATAGTAAATTTCTTATTTTGACAGATTTTCAAATTTAAAATAAAAATAAAAAACCATTGCTGAAACATTTGAACATGAAATTCGAAAAAATACGTACACGAACAAAAAATGCAGGTCAAATTACAAATAAAGTACAATTAGGCGGTTTTATTGCTTAGTGAAAATATTAAAGTACTAGGACCAAAAACACGAAGCACACGCAAAAAGTAAAACAATTTACTGACAAAAAAATAAAACAAAACAAATAAAAATCCACACGAAAAATTATCATAAAAATATACCAACACTGGCATTCCCAAAATCGTATCCATAATATACAACCTGCTCTCTAAGATGGCTGATTTCGTGTGAATAACTTTACGACCCATGTCTGTCCCCGACCGCCAGGTGAACGCGAGATTTAAGAAATTTGTTATTTTTAGCTTTATGAAATATTTAATCGAAACTATACAATTGTAATTATTGTTATGTTTGTAAATAAGTATGTTAACGATATTAAAACAATGTTTACCATTCACAATTGTACTTTTAATTTAAAACAATTGAAATTAATACGAACATCTTATCAACATGGCGGTCAAAATGGCAAGCAGTGTTTGATAAAATGGAACAATTTATGTACAAATCGTCAACTAATATGTTTTAAATTAATAGAAAAGTATTTATGACTTACCCATTCATGTTTATCTTTAATATTAACTTCCGAAATCACTTTCAACAATTAATACTTTGCACGTAAACACACGACACCGCGTCACAGAACGAGCATCTGAACGGAATGAATGTATTACTATTTCACAGCTTCTATGGTTCGTTTATGAAGCGTGTGTGATATTAATTGCCGTCTTTGTTTAATTCTCTGCATGTTGTACCAGTTATACGTAAACTTTTACTAGGGCTGTTTCGAATCTGAAGTTTATAAGTAAACAGCAACCTTCTGATGGTTGTGGACAGATGCGTACTTTTTGACAGCAACTTTTAGAAGGTTTTGGACTGACGAGAGGATATCATATAGCTAACATAATGATACACCACTATTTTCATAAAATAATGACTTAAAAAAATGTAAACGATGACCAAACAAATATCTACTTATAAATCACAACACTATCGATACACGTGCAGTCAATAGACAAAGACAACTACTCTAATTTATGTAATGAGTGAAAGGGACATTTCAAAAAGACATCAACGGGTGCTTAATTGTTATTACTTTGCAGCATTATATTACCAGTATAAGTTGAACTCCGGTGCAGTTGAAAAAGGTTAACGTGATAAGAATAGAATTTACTTACCGATGAAATGTTATGCCATCTTTTTGATAACTGGATGTCTTAGCCGACTTAGAAAATAGTGTGGCACACTATTTTACTGCACAGGAAGCCATTTGTAATGTATTTTGGATACAAGACTATTTTTAAATTTTCAAGAACTTGGATGTGCCTACGGGTCGCAAGCTTGGTCGACACTAATATCGTGATTCTTAGCGTTACTTCATATGTTAGCTACAGCAAGCATGTGTTGCGCGCGTTTGCGGCCCTGTATGCGGAATCTATTAGGGGATAATCTGTGCTCTTTAAAAATAGTAGGATGATCCTGATGTTTTAATTAGGAAAAACAAAAAACCATAATAGGAGCACCACATTCAGATATTGATTGTGAATTTGTTTAATTTTGATCATTTTCAAATAAAATTCCAGACATATTTGATTGAATCGAGGGTTGTAAACAAACAATAAAATGATTAGTATTTTTTATGTTTCTTGATTTTATTAATACGCACACCCAAACCAATTATTTACATCTCCATTTGTGTCCGTTATACAAGGTGGAACAAAACAATTGACCACATATTTAGTTCATAATTCTGGACCCTCCTGCGTTAAAATTTACTGTCAGTTATTTAAAAAATTTGCTGTTTCCTACAAAAGTGCAATATCTACTCAATCAAAATGTATGGAATATCATTTTTTTTAATAACTAACGTAATAAATTCAACGCAGTGGGGTCCAGTCATGTACGGACTACGTGGTTATAATTAATGTTATCACCCATCAATTTATCAGCCACCTCGCAATCATGTTGGGCAAATTTATAGCGTGCAACGTTACTTACCAATAACTTTCGTGAAGGTAAAGCATCGTCACGCAATGTATACTTTATTCAGTGTCGGGTCGAAACATGATTCATGAAAGTGAAGAGAATAAATATGAATTGTTTTTGTTGACATCTTTAAATTTTTTACACCAATCGCTTCCAGCCAAATTTTCTTTTTCCTTTTATTAGCAGGCAGATAAAAGCTTGAAAGTAATACATAAAACCAATAAAGAACCACAAAATAGCATTATCGATAAATATAAAAATGTCTAAATGCATTACTCTATTCCTTCAAAAACAAGAAAATTACCAAGTTAAAGTTAAAGTTAACAAAATACCAAGTGTCTAAATATATGCACTCTTTATTCTCTCAATCTATTTTATATGTTTATATGTATGTTAAAATACGGTCTTCCATCCATGGACTGACCGCGGCAAGTGCAACTTAATTTCGCAGATCTATTGATCCGTGCAACTATTACTTCATCACAAGCTCCTATTCTCTACGACTAACGCTTTAGACTCAAACTATTATGATTTCGGCACACTATAGTCGGTCATCAAGCATGAATCGGGAATCGAGCGTTGTGAGTCTCAAATACTATGGAGTTTATACTATCCTAGCAAACTGAACCGCGTGTATCATGTGTGGGCGTCTAGCGGCACTTCAGGAACATTACTAAATATCTGTACCGAACTGAGCTAAGTTTTATCATTGTGACTTTAATGTGAATACAATCCGAAGCCCACTCAATCCCTTGGGGAAAATAGCTTGATACTATGAATATTGTACTAATGTGACCCGTGAGGTGCGGATGTTTAAGTAAGGTTACACATTTTCTCAGTTGATAAATAGATAATTAGGTTCGTAACGGCTTAATTAGTTTTATAATATATAAAAACCTATCTCTATTTTTATCAAAAGTTTTGTAAGTTAAATTTTTAAGTCTTATTATAGCAATATATTTACTGGTATAAATAACGTAGAAATGACTCCCTTTAATGAAATTGTTTTATTTTACCTTTTCTTTTATACTTTTCAAGAAAATTTTTGCTGCAAATTTTTGAATTCTTCTTTGGATTTTAACCAGCTCACCAAATAAATTTAACCTTTTTTGAAGTGAAAACTTCTTTAGCATCATTGTGATTCGAAAGTTTAAGAAATGAAAAAGCGACAGTAACAGACAGTAAGAGACAGACATAAATTCATAAGATTTAACGTGGGAGAAAATGAGATAGGAAGCATTATAGATTATAGCTCAATGCTCACGAGAAAATAGTCGTTAACGCAGCAGAAACGGCGTCGCTTACGCGTTTTGTTCAACAAGATACGAAGGTGTCGTGTGCCTGTGGATTAATCAAGCAGTGAAGAACGGCCAAACCTCAACTTCGGAATAGGTGAAATTGATATAAAACTTTATGTAATTAGTGAGTACTATATAAGGTATATCGAAAAGATTAATATAATATCTGTGTCTAATATATATTAAAATGTTTGTTACATTTATTAACTATAAAATTAAAATTTCTTATATTTTATGCCGAACTTGTAGTTTAAATTATAATATTAAATAAATCATTTAAAGTATACGTATTTTCTATTTCATTTCATTTGAAGGTTTCACTTCTGTCTCGTGTGAGCTGCACTTTTGTTTTTCTAATTATAGAATCCAAAGGGATTTGTTTGACAAACGGCAAAACTAAAATACATTTTAAAACGCTAACCGAATATTTATTTTCATTCAATTGTCTGGGAACAAATGTAAATAATAATAATGTGTTTTGATTCATTATAAACATTCAAGATAAGTATCGAAGTTAATTTTGATATAGTTGAGTCAATCCCTAGCGTACATATAAAATATTATGTATAAATATGTATTTACCAAATTCATGCAAATTATCAACAACGTGACTTTTTTCTTTGCAAAATATCGAAATAAGAAAATATAACATTCTATATTTTATAGTATATAACATAAATTTTAACCTAAAATAAACGCGTCCTACTATTGAGAGTGAGAAAAGGACGATAACGTAGTTATAGGTTATACAATAATCTTTATGAGTTTTAAACATATTTATATAAAATTTTTAAATGTTCTAAGAACCGAACTGAACAAGATTCACCAATTTTAAGCTCACAAAACACTTTTTTCTCATTTAAACCAACTTTTAAACTCCTTAGATCACTACGAAAAGTTAAAGTAGTTCAGAAAAGTGTAGTTGGCTAAACAAAAAAACCGGCACGGAGAAAGGGACAAACAATCTCACCACTCTGTCTCCTTTCTATGCAAGACGTATGCATAAATCTATCTTTTTCGTGTGCGAATGCGAAAGAAGTCGTCAATTTGTCTATAGGTTTCTCTATCTACGGTTTAAAATACTCTACGTGGAGTATAGAGGTAAGGAGGACAATCTCCTATAGAAGAATAGTTGAAAATGTGTCCGTCTGTTACAGTAAATAACAGTTCAAAAACTCTCCACAACAGCACTCGAGTAGCTACAGGGAATGATAAATCGCCATAAAATACGTTGAGAGTAATTTTAAAACTAAAAATTTTGAAAATAAAAAAATAATTATTGTAAATAGAAATATGGTAAGTCAGTGTAATAAAAAAATTATAAAAAGTTCATTAAAATTTAGACTGTAGCGACAGTGGCGCCACCCTTATTTAGCGCTTTCCTACGGATTCTTTATATATTTATACAGTCTGTACTCCTTACCTCTACACTACATAATATTCTATGATATTTGCGAATTGAACATGCTTTTGTTTATAATCTGTTAAATCAAAATGGCCGAATGTGGGCTTGTGCTTTCTTAATTTCGCAGTTGCTGTCTAATTATTCATTGTAATAATATATTTCTTCAAGCAATTTACAAAAATATTAGTAAGTTTTGTTGTATCGCTCATTGTCTTATTTGTTATTGCACTAAATATGTTTCATTAATGTTATAGGAAAGTATGCGCCGAAAAAGTGAACGAAGTGCGACTAAGAAAAAAGCATCGCCGGAGAAAAAGGTTGAAAAACTTAAACGTACAAGATCTAGGCGTAGAAAATCAACATCTTCTGAGAATGAGTCAGGTGAAGAGTCTAAAGTAAAACAGGAAGCTGAAGTCACTAATGTGGTAGAACAAAATGTGGAGCAAACAGCCAAAACAGACAGCCCGGAAGAATCACAAGAACAAGTGTGGCAAGTTAAAGCTGCAGACGGTTCTGGTGATAGTGGCGAGTTACAGAAAATAAAGATTTGCTTAACAAGGCCACCGTCAACTCCTGAAAGGGTAGATAAATCTCCTCGAAGTAGGAGAAAACATTCACGTACCACGAGTTTTAGTGATTCTCAGACTGGTGAAGGGCCGGAAGAGAAAAAAAAGTCTCGACTTCGCTCAAAACATTCAACAAGTGTATCAAGTGAAAACTCTGACAAAACAGATATTCATCTTGACGAGCCGCAAAAAGAATGCACATCGGAAAAAAATCTGGACACAGAAATTCAAGAGCCCACCGATGTAGTGTCGCAGTCTCAATCAAATGAGGAAAACACAATGAATGAAAAAAGAGAAATTCAAGAGCCTACCGATGTAATGTCACAGTCTCAATTAAATGAGGAAAAAACAATGAATGAAAGAAGTGACATTAAAGATTCTCGTGATGTAATGCCGCAGTCTCAATCAAATGAGAGAAGAACAATCAGTGACGAAAATATTTCAGCTTGTATACAATCAGAAACTGAAACATCAACATTGGAAGAAATTAACATACAGAATAAAATAGATGTGGACGCCACAAAAGAAAGTGAGAATGATAAATCGTGTGAGGATAAGGACAAACAGAATTATACTGATAAGGAATCAGAAAAGAAGAGCCCAGAAAGAGAAAGAAGTATGTCAATTGACAAATCTGAAGTTCTTGAAATACATGCTGAGGAAAGTAAAGGTGAAATTTCTGATCTCGGGATTTCAGAGTCTCAAAATGAAGTAAATAATGTTGATCCAGAATCACATGAAGAAATGAGTACAAAAGAAAGGGAATTAGATAAGGTAAGTATAAATGAGGATAAAAGTGATAAAAATATTCTTGAAAATACAGAGTCTTCTCAGAATGAGTTACAAGTGTCAACTAATGAAACTGATGTTGTAGCAAAATGTGAAATTCCTATGAGTGATAGTCCAAAAAACACGGCTGATTCTACCTCAAGTACACACAATGTAAAGTCGATTGATAGCCGAAAAAAACTTGGGAATTCGGAGAGTACACAGTCTAGTAATGAAGATAATGTACACAACGGTCATAACAATACAGTAATAAACAGAAAACGCAGGTGGGGCTCGCGGACCAGCAAATTAACTTCTCAGAAATCAATAACCATTTCTACAGATGTGCTCAAAGAAATCATACCAGATGTGAAACTTGTTGAGTTTGATGAAGTCATTGAAGAAAAGAAACAGCATAAAAGAGTTGAAGTGGTAGAAAAGGTTGAAAGGCCAATACTGCCAAAAATAATTATTGACAACACTGAGAATGTAGAGCAAAATAAAAGAGAACAAGAAGATAAAGATAAGGAAAACATGAAACTCAAAGAACCTACAAGCTTAGCTTCAACCCGAAAAATATCTATTGTAAAAGACTCGGACAATATTGCTATTGTAAGACCGCCTAGCCCGCCGAGACATAAACAGTCAAATATTTTGTACATAACAAATCTAGTGAGACCATTTACTTTATCACAATTAAAAAATTTGCTACAGAGGACTGGACGAATTGTTGAAAATGGTTTTTGGATAGATAGGATTAAATCAAAATGTTATGTCATTTATGAAACTGAAGAGTAAGCTTATATTAACAGACCTAATTGCTATATTGTCACATTTTATTTTGGTACTAAGTAATATAATGTATTTTTTTACAGTCAAGCAGTAGAAACTAGGCATGCTTTGCATGGAGTGACCTGGCCGGTATCAAATCCTAAAACATTACATGTAGATTTTTCTACACAAGAAGAATTTGATAAAGCTAAAGCAAATGAAGAAACTGATAATGCCAAAGCTTCAACTATGCCAGGAACAGTAGAAGATTGGCTACGTGAGCAAGATTTAAAAAGAGAAAGGGGAGAATTGGTATGTTTAATAACATATTTTATGTTAAGTTCATCAAACCTAATACAAATGTTTCCTATTATTTTAAAGCTATCCTGAGCCTTTTTATTCCCAAGACTTAATATAAATCCAATTGCTAGCAATGGTGCAACAAGTCATAGTGATTGATAACCCCTCTGCTATCAATGTTCACTGTAAATGTGATTTTATGTGGCTAGTTATTCTGACACCTGTGCTATTGAAATAGGTATTTCATTAACTATAGAAGAAAAAATTATTTATTTGTATTTGACAAAACAAAATAATGCTTATTTTGTTTTAAGGATAAACCATGGGAACGTAAAACTATGCGAGAGTGGGATGTAGGTAAAAATGACAAGGGTAAAGAACAAGAAAAAGAAAAATTACGGAGAGATGATAGATCTCTCGAAAAACGACGACATCATACACCAGAGAGAAGTCCTGAGCCAGGTAAAAAGTTTATAACTTTTTTCTTATTGAATAAGAATGACAAGCAAGCACACAGTTCACCTGTTGGCAGGTGGATACTGTTTAATGCTTGATTAAAAATCAAAATGCAGATGAAATGTCACCTCTGAAGATTAAGATAGGATGCCTTGTTACCAGTAAAAAGGGTCTCCAGTTCTCGACACTCACCATATGAAACACAGCATCATAAAACTACTATTTTACGACAGTATTTTGTAAGAGCATGGTCCTACCCCCGTTGAGAAATTCCCCAAACCCATTCAGAAATAATATAGCTGTAGCATGGCTCTACGACATAACTAATGACTGCATAACTAAATTACTACATTTTATAATTGTATTTTTATTTCACTGAATGCAATCTTCAATAACAATTTAAGTAAACAACATATTTATGCAATTATTTTAGCAAAAAAATTCAAGAAGAAAGAAGAAGCTCCAGCAAAACTCTTAGATGATTTGTTTAGAAAAACTAAAACCACTCCCTGCATCTATTGGTTGCCACTGTCAGCTGAAACTGTAAGTAAACTACATAGCTCTTTTTAATTTAATAAGTATACATCAACGCCCCCTGCGAATAATCCGGTAATTGTAAAAGTGTAAATGTTAAAGAAAAATAAAAAAAACATTTTTCCTTAATAACTCCATTAAACATCAAGTATCAGAGATTTTTATATTGCATATGGAAGCTAATTTTTTCAGCTATCTGGTTATTTCAACAAAATTTAAGTAGTCCCCAAGGGCTTCGTTATAATTTAGCTTGTTGCATTTTACTATATTAGTGTAGGTCAAGCTCTGGTCAGTAATGTCACTTACTATATTGTTCGTGTAAATTTATATTTTCGACGGCAACAGTAAAATCTTGTTGCGCTATTATTCATGTAGTTTGTTTTGTATATTGAACATTTGTAAAAAGCAATTATTAGGTTATTCGATTGTTTAACAGTAACATACATTTTATTGTTATGATTATTACTGTTTATTTGAATAGTTTACTTAAGTATTATTTGATGATTATTATAGTATATTTTATGAAATAAAGGACATTCTAGTTAATAAAACAACTTTGGTTAGTTTGACAAAACACGATAGATATTATTATCATAAAAAAATAGAGACTGCACTGAAGACACGACTATTACACATGATTACATAATCATGAAAATTATAAAATGGTCCAGTTAAAAATCTTAATCAGAATCCTCATCGTGACCTGATTCAGTATCACAAAAGCTTAAGTTCCTATAAAATGGTTGATAATGGTGGGGAATTGCTTGGGAGTTACACAGGCTTAGGAGATCATTATACAAAGCTTTTTTATAGGGAGGGGCTTGTCGTATGCTGGCTTTAATTCAATACTTTCAATTGTTTTGGACACCTGTTTCTGGCCGACGCTGTCTACTTCTGCCTGCTTCGTAATCCTATTCAATATAATCCTGATCAAAATCATATTTGAAGAGAAAACAGTTAGGTTTACTGTAAGCTTATTATTGAAAAAAAAAAATAGTCCCGCTGGGTTTCTTGCTGGTTCTTCCCAGGACAGAGGTTTTTTTTGCGAACCAGTGGTAAATGAAAAAAGTGACTTTCAATAAGTATTATTATAATCTACATTGAATAAAAAAGTTTCTGTTTCTGTTTCTGTATGACACACTAAACCTCCATCACATCGGACCATCGTACTTTTTCTCCTGTCTTATCTTGAAGCCATCTTTTGGGTTCAACAAGTTCTTTTATGTTGAGGATTTCAGGTTTTTGCATTTCTTTTAGGATGTATTTGTCTCCGGAAACTTTAGCGTTCATGATGATACTATATACTTGGTCCGGTGTGTACAAAACTTTGTTTTTCAGAGCTCTTTCAATACATGCGTGCATGTAGTTGCCTTCATTTTGGCTATGCCCACCAACAAAAAACCGATGGGTAATGTCAATTTGAAGTCATTGCAATGTAAAGATACAATGCAAAAATGTATCTGTTTTTATTCTGGCCATAACAACCATCAGAGTAAAATATAATTTTGCGTATACCTTTTTCGTGTACGGTCTTGACAAATTGAAACAAGCAACTCCCTATTTCAATGCACCCTTTTTTCCGATTTAAGCTTGCCAAACGTAACAGAACCCTAGTTTGTTTAGAGCGTCAAAAACTGTAAAATTATAAATCGGGTATTTAGGTTTGTAGTGGAAAATTGACACATCAGACTGGTACATTCAAAACTTTTTCTAAATCAAAAATGGCCACAACAGTGTCATCTTTATTTAGTGTTTCTTTTTCTTCTTTTTTAATTTCACGAACTCTTTCTTTCATACTCAAATGTTTCAGACAAATATTCTCGTTTAGACTCTTTTCTCGTGTAATGCGATTCTACTTTGAGAAATAAATCAATATGATTTTGAGAGAAATCCTCTGTGTCATTCTCGTCGTCAAAGTATTTTATATTTGATGGTTCTACAACAATAAGAAGCCTTGTTTTAAAATAAATCTTACAATATTTAAGCAGGTAATACTTAAAGCGATTAAATAGGTACTTAATGATGAAAACGACAATAAATTTTAGGGAACATACCTCTCAACTTGTACACTTTTGGTTTAGCATCAACAGTAGATGATTCTGAGCCTGATTGAATAGAATCTGAAATGATTACAATTTAATTAGATTAAAGGAACACATTTTCGTAGCTATTATCTGTATACTTTTCTTCTTGAATTCAATGCATTTTCCTATGTCAGTAAATTATAATTGTAAATTATAATATTTTAACTACAATAATAAACTCGTTCGACCTATATTTTAATAATTTGAAAACAGCGGTTGCTGGGATAATTTATCTTTATAGATAAGAACGCCAGCGTTAATTTGAGTACCTACCTACTACTATTACACTAGTTAGGTTTTACATTTTTTATGCTATACACTTAGGTTATGCTTTAATATACATATACTTACAACTAACTAACAATTTAATAAACACGCATACCGGAAAAAAATATTAAGTAGGTAGGAAGTACATATCTAATAACCCTTTTCTGTAATCACAGTATATAAAGAAAGAATTTTTATGGAATATACGCGTAGTTTTTCATATCTTGGTAAATAAAGATAGAAAAATGATGAAAAAAATTTACATGGTAGACTTTAACTTCTAGACATACCCCATAACATGAAAAACCCCGTAATAGGTTATTACCGGATTATTCGCGGGGGACGTCGACATTATTGTATACAATTATATTTTATTTTTACTTATTTTAGATTGCAATAAAAGAAGAGCAGCGCCGTCAGCATATGGCCGAGCATGAGAGACGTTTGCAGGAATTACGACGCACGCATCGCAGACATTAGCATGGTCCGTCCCACATACATACGTCACTCATCAAACATTTATAACCTTTTCAAATATTCATACTCACATACACACAACATACACGTTACATCCAGGTACATTTCACATTACATACATTGTTTTTAACACTGTCTTTTTATTGTCATTTCTTTCAGAATTTAACAGCATAATGAGCAACAACATTTTCATATATTTAAATAAATTAGCTTACCGTATAGAAGAATAATTTGATTGTATGTTTTTATGTAGTTAATTTAGGTTAAAATATTTTTCATTCAAGAGTTTGCAAGGATTATTATTGGAAGAAATTGAATGGTTGGATTTATTTTACACAAAATGTTATAGAAAGGAACAATTGGAGGAAATCCTATGATTTTGAACGTCTTCGCGGGGGTCATGCCGTTGCTTGATTCGACGTGAGCAGATGTTGGGACTCCGCTGGGAGAAAATGATGCATTGAGATCACAATTATATTTGACGTCATCCAGTGTGAAAACTGGGCAGATTATGCTATGCACAACCTATTTCTGTAAGCATATTGGTCAACTAGTTTTGAACTGAGTCAGCATATATACATACCTTGAGATCAAACAATTTATGACTGATTTCGTGAACACTCTGCAGTTTATATCAACCGTCTTGGATCATGAAGACATCGTGGGAACACATATACTTGGAGTTTATGATAAGACTTTAAGACTCAAAAATCTATAACATGTGGAAAAAGCTTTAGTTAATGGATTCACTTCATTTCTATAACAATAAATTATGTTGAAAACTTGGGAATTTGTATGAACATTGTCTTTTATGTGAATTATTGTGGACACCTTTTCTAATTGTAGCAATTCCATTGATGTTCAATAAACTGTCTTTATAAGAAAATTTAAGTATTCAATTCTCCCAAAGTACATTATTCCTTCTGTTCCATTACAGCTTAATAAAGTCCACTGCTAAAAGGCCTCCCCCAATGGTTAGGGTTATATTTGCCATAGTTACTATGTTTGGCGGGATGTTGTGTTTATCCATTCTAAAAATTCACCCAGGGTGGTTACTCAGAAACATGTGTTCATCTATACACTTAGTCATTTTCAAATCAATCTTTCTCTCGTTTTAAATAATATTATTGCGTAATTTATAAATTCTGCAATATGTCCAGGCAATAACCAACACTTATTTCATTATTAAGTAGACGTAATTTGATATCCCTAATATACGTGGTAGAGCCATGTTGCAGCTATATTATGGTTGTAGCACGAAAGGGTCGACTCGACCGGGGAAGAACCACGCTCTCACAGAATACCAGCGTAAAATAGCAGCTTCGTGCTGCTTTTTTTCGTATGGTGAGTGCAGAGATCCGGAGACCTGTTTTAATGGAATTAAGGCGTTCCATCTTAGTCCTCAGGGGTGGTCAACGCGTCTGCATTATGATTTTTAATCGAGGTTAATTGTCACAGGATATACTTACCATCAGGTGGACTGTGTGCTTTCTATAAAAATTCTATAAAAAAAAATCGTCACGTCATCTTGTAAATGTACATTTACAATCGTTTTATAAGTTTCTTTGCGACGTCAGATGTGTTAGTAAAGAACTGGGCGTTTTTTGCAAGCATTTCAAAAACTTTACGATTGGAAGGTTGTCTTTAACTTCATTTTAAATTATTTTATGCCAAGATTCTAACGAATCTATAATCCTGTGTGGGTGAGGTGAGGACCTTTCAAACAATATTATGTATATATTTTATAAGTAATGTCTACTAAAAATCACACAGCCGAAGGAGAAAATCGGAAGAAAACAATATATGAACCCCATTTGGCAAGCGGGTCGGCAACCGCAGATTTTTATTTTTATAGTCAACCAAATCTAAGAAATACCTTTTGACGTTTCACATTAATCATTCCGCAATAACTTTGCACAAGCGTACTCACATGATTTAAAATAACCTTTTACGTAAATCCGAAGAATTATGAAGTAATCTACATTTCATTACAACGTGTATGATTTTTTATCACTAATTAAAATTTGAATTTTTCAAACAAAGCAAAATATTAAAAAATAACCAGTATTAATTCTTTTTACTTGACGTCGTTTCAATGACATGTCGCTATGTTTAATACCGTAGTGTTTGGATGATTAAAATTCATTGTTGAGCGAATAATCGGCAAAATAATTAAATAATCGGTAAAAATATTCTAGTAATCGAATTATTAAATTCTTAAATGTAAAAATTCTTTAATTACATGAATCATGAATAAAACAAGTATTTTTTTTTTTCACTTTGTTAAAATAAATTTTAGAAGGCAAAAAACTCATATACAAGGCCGTGCTAAAATAATCACTACATAATTTCAATATCCCGCCATTTTGATACCAGTTACTCGACTCCACAGAATCAGTGATTCATTTTTGAGGCGATGTATACGCTTTTGTAACAAAATGCCACATAATATACACAATTTGACGTAAGTACACATAGTTTAAAAACTTTATTTAAGTTTGTATAAAAAGGGTTATTTTAATATTAAGGAATTTATGGATGATAAGCCCTGAGAAGGGTGATCGCTACCAAGATATTTATAATTTGTTTTGTGTTGTTAATTGTAACACGCATGATTGTAAGCTCTTATTTAAAAAAAAACCTAGTCCCGTTGGGTTTCTTGCTTGGTAAATGAAAAAAGTGATTTTCAATAAGTATTATTCATAATCTATATTAAAAAAAAGTTTCTGTTTCTGTTTCGAAAGCTTGCTGTGCGTAATTTTGTGATTTTTGTTTGTTTTCTTATTTTGTGACTCGGCTTTAACTTTTTGGACTGTTTCTTCTATAATAACTTTTTGTACGTGGTAGAGCCACGCTACATCTATATATAGTTGTAGCACGAATGGGTCGGCTCAACCAGGGCACGACCACGCTCTCACAGAATAAATACCAGCGTAAAATAGCAGCGTAATGATGATGTGTTTCATATGGTGAGTGTAGAGAACTAGAGACCCTATTTACTGGAATCAAGGCATTCCATCTTAGTCCTCAGGGGTGCCAACGCATTTGCATTTTGATTCTTAATTGAGGATAAATGTGTATGTCTATGGGCCATAGCATCCACTCACCATCAGGTGGACTGTGTGCTCGTTTGTCACCCAATGCTATAAAAAAATTCGTTGAAGCATGTGCCCATGTCACAAAGGATGATTGGCCAAAAGTGGAATTATGGATAACTTTGAAAGAGACATTAATTTTGACTGCATTATTGAAATCTCAAAAATCAAATAATAATAATTAATATAAACAACGACACCCCTACTAGTTGTACTGAAAGTGATTGAATAAATTTATTTTGAATCTAGTTTCAATCTAAAATTTTTATAAGTGTGCCTCTATAAATAAGTAGTAACAACAAATACGAAGAAACTGATAAATCTTGTGTTTTAAATTATAAGTTTTTAATTTATTTTGGTATTATTCAAACCAAACTGTAAATGATTACCAACTCTAAATAACCGATATCGATTTTTTTAATAATCGAATAATTTACGTTCCCATTTTTTGGTTGGCATGCTTGGTGCAATAAGTCTGACAGCTGTCAAAATGTATTTCTTAGATTTGGTTGACTATAATCGTTATTACGAACACAAATTATAAAGTTATATGTACAAGACAGATAGGACAGTACGTCGCCGTAGCGAGTTTGGAGGGCAAGCTTTTTCCCGCTAGATGGCTACCTTGTTAGTGTTGGGGTGTATAGATTATCCATGATATCGATAGATTTTGCAGCGATAGGGATGTGAATTGAGTTAATCGATTTCTTTTATTTTCATTATTCTTTGTTATATTAATAAGGGAAAGGAATTAAAAAAAAAACATATTTGCAAGTTTCATTTTTTATATTTTCTTTGTTTTAACCATTTTATATGTGCTATTTTTTGAATATATGGTGCATCGTTAAAATTAATTACACAATGCGATCCATTCAATATTCTGTTTATTGTTCGGCACCAGTGAAATACTTGGATTTTAGCCCCAAGAAGTAAAAATTTTTTTTTTGATTTTGTCATGGTGCTCTTGGCAGCCTATCCATTCCAAATTATTTTGAGTAATAAATTTTTCGGATATATTTTTAATAATATTTCCTTTGTGGCAAGTATTATTTAATACCACATTACTTAAATCAACTAATTTTGAAAATGCTACAATAAATCTTGTACTAGGGTACATAAGATTTTTCCCTTTAAGGTGCTTTCGTTCTCTGTGTCTAATTAAATCATGGACACTAAGCTGCTGATCCTCATTATTTAAAAATGTTTTTTTGCAATTTTTACATTTATTTTGACACAGTTTTCTTATAATATATCCTGAAGTGTAACTCCTCGCATTTACATTTATTTTTTCTTCAAATATGGAGGAGACCATATTTCCTGATAAATTTACTTCAGATGAACAACTAAGGTTTCTATTATCATTACTATCGGGAACTGGTTGTTCATCTGAAGCAAATTCCTCATTCAATAAAGTTGTTATGTTTAATATGGTCTCCCCCATATCATCTTCACAATTAAAATTTTTTGTGTGGATGGCCAGCATGTCCGTCATTAATAATGACTTAAAAGAGTTTCGGAACGAAAATGTATCGGGGTTGGTATATCTATAATTATATGCTCTTATTTTGCCAAAGAAATTTTCAAGGGGGTCTTGATTTAGGTTTCTCGTGTAAAAGAAACTGACCCCCTCCGATTGCATTATTTCACTTACTCTTATTAGGCTTTCTAATGTTGTAACCCAATTGTTTAATGTTGGTACATTTTTTATTGTAGCTTTTTCTAAAGAATTTTTTGGAATGAAATGCATTTTTTTAAACTTCTTAATGGCTTCAATCCAAAATGCTTTGTGGGCACTATTCAGTTTGACTGGACCTCGTATTTTTCCTGGAGCCCTACCAGACCTCGAACCATTGCAACTGTCGAACAATTGGTCAAAGAAAGCAACTGCTGCAGCTGTATTTTTTTGTT